ATCACTTTTCAGTTATAAAACCACAGATTCAGCAGTATTTGAACAGAAATTAGTTTACATAAATAAAGAGCAAAAATAAATTTGAGAATTTATGCTGGTTTAGGTACATACCGAAATTCAAAATATCATAAATTATCAAACAACTCAAAACTTCATAAATTATCAAACAAAAAGCATTCAAGTTAAAAAGGAAACCTTTAACCATTTAACATTTGAAATGTCTATGAGGATTAGTTAAGGCTTCGGGTAGCTTATCAAAACCAAAAAACATTTGCAGTACTCATTGTAATAAATACAAGTAAAAAGCGATAAAAATTGCTTTAGAAACTTATGGTGTGGTAATGTCATATATTGAACAAATGGCTACAATTGACTTCCAAATATTGAGAAAAGCAAAGTTAAAGGGTTGAATAAAGTGGAGGAATAACAAGTCAGTCCCTTTCATCGGTCAATACATTTATTAATACATCTACAAATTTGTCTAAAGAATTCTGTAGACAATATGTTTATTTATTGTCTACATAATATATATATATATATATATATATATATATATATATATATATATATATATTTATATATATATATATATATAGTCATCAAGAATCTTGTCTACAGAATTCTTGAGACAAATATACATTATAACTGAATATTATAACCAAAGCGCTATAATACGCACTCAAAATAAATGAAATTGCTGTTTTAGATTAAAAAAACACACGCTTAAATAGAAAAAGTGTGTCTAATAGCAAAAGACAAGCCTTACCAGGAAAGGTGTGCAGTTTTTTGTCTTGTATGACCACACGCGAGTATCTTATTTTAGACAACTCGACAAGTTTTATAATAACTGATTATTATAAAACTTGTGGCCATTGATTATTACAAAACTTGCGACCATTTGCAAGTTTTATAATAATCAATGTTGAAAAAGTTTCAAAAACAAAAAAAAAACAACAAAACTAACAAAATAAAAAGAGATTAAAATAGAAAAAAATAAAAACACATTAATAGTTTAAATTATTTGTGTACTGTTTTTATTTTTGTTTCTTTGGAGTGGTTGTTACATTCAGCAAGAAAATTAGATAAGGCGAAGCAAAAAAAAACAAAAAACAGTTTGAAGTCTACAAATAAAAAGAATGATTTTCCTTTTCTTAATTTTTTTTTTTTTAGAGGATAGCAAAAATATAAATTGCAATGTGTTTGTAAAATAAATTTGTATAATTTTAATGTAACAACAATAATGTAATAACAAGGGTTGAATTAAATCAAATCAAATCAAATATATTTCGAAATAAGTTATAACATTTCAAGGAAATTTACAATAGTACAAGTACTAATGTAAAATAAATACCTCACAACGTAACGTTATAGTCAATGATTAATGATTATTAATAATACTAATAATAATAATAACAATAATAGCAATAATAGTAATAACAATAATAACAATAATAATAAAAATAATAACAATAATAACAATGATTGTGATAAGAACAATAATAGCAACAACAACAACAACAACAATAATAATTATAACAATAATAATAATAGTAACGAAATAATAACAATTATAATAAGAGAAGAATTTTATAAATAAAGACAATAACAGCAGCAACAAAAATTTAGTAAAGAGTGATGGCAACAACAAAGATTTAGTACGAAGTAGAATAGTTGAGAAATAGAGAATTGTTGAATTATATAGATAGATAGAAATAGAGAAATAGAGAATTGTTGAAATAAATAGATAGATAAATAAAGAATACCAACCCATTGGTACTAAAATTAATAATATTAGTATAGATAGTTTAATAATAAAGTTTAAAAATGGCAGATAAAAAACCAGAGAAATTAGATGTAGATAGATAGGTAGAGAATTTAAAAATGTTAAAAATATCAAATTAAAAACTGAAGGATTACAAATTGACATATCAAGTAAAAAATGTCAATATTAGTTGGTAGAAATATTTAATTGTATTTTTTTAACAGATAATTAAAAAGCTTGGTTTTGAATTCAGAGATTGAATTAAGAGATTTTAGATCAGGAAGTAGTTTGTTCCATCACCTAATACATTGATATTTAATGGATTTATTTCCATAATTAGCAGATTGGTGTTTCGGAATAACTAAGTTTAAGCTACTGATGGAGCGAAGAGGATAGTGACAATTTGTAATTGAAATGTAAATTGTTGAATGATAGGGGAAGGTTTTTGTGATAATAATTCCAGACAAATAGGCAGTTGAGGAATACCACAAGGTCGCTTATTTTTAATATTTTGGAGATTAGGTATAGTACATTAGATTTAGAGTTATTATACTGAAAATATATTGTTTTCAAGGCTTTATTTTGGAGATGGGACAACCTTGTAATGATTTGTTTTTGGGATTGTCCCCATACTTGACATGCATATCTTAGATGGGACCCAAAAATAGCATGATATATATTTAGCAGAGTTTCTAGATTAACATAATGGCGGACTTTAGCTAGCATTCCATTAGATCTGCTGAGTTTCATTGCTAAGTCATTCAGATGGCCTTGAAAAGAAAGAATAGAATCAATTTTAATCCCAAAATATTTAATAGAGTCTAGAGGATAAATTTTTTGTCCACATAGTCTGAAATTTAAATGCTTTTTAATTGGTGCCAGATTGGATATAAAGATGATAAGCTTTGTTTTGTTAGAGTAAAGAGAAAGTTTATTAGAACGAAGCCACTGAACAAGATTTCCAAGATCATGATTAATATGTTTGTTGATTTTTTTAAGTGATTTGTCAACCAGTAGCATGTTAGTATCATCAGCAAAATGGTAAGCAGTTGCAAATTTAAAAGAAGTATTCAAGTCATTAATAAAAAGAAGAAAAAGAAGTGGTCCTAAAACTGAACCTTATGGGACGCCATTTGAGCAATTCTGTAAATCAGATTTACTGCTATTAATGGGAACAAACTGTGTTCTATTTTTGAGATATGAAGTAAACCATTTTAGCGGGATGCCTCTGATTTCGCAGTATTCTAATTTTGTGAGAAGGATGGAGTGATCCACATTATCAAATGCTTTCTGCAATTCTACTAACACCCCACATGCAAAGTGTTTATTATCTAGAGCTCTTCTAATCTTCTCAGTAATTTCAATAAGTGCAAGGGTTGTAGAATGTTTGCTTCGAAATCCATATTGATGTTGAGAATTTAAAGAGAATTTAAAAATGTTAAAAAATAGGTAGAGAATTTAAAAATGTTAAAAATATCAAATTAAAAACTGAAGGATTACGAATTGACATATATAGTAAAGAATGTCAATATTAGTTGGTAGAAATATTTAACTGTATTTTTTTAACAGATAATTAAAAAGCTTGATTTTGAATTAAGAGATTGAATTAAGAGATTTTAGATCAGGAGGTAGTTTGTTCCATGAGCTAATACATTGATATTTAATTGATTTATTTCTATATATAGCAGATTGGTGTTTCGGAATAACTAAGTTTAAGCTAGTGATGGAGCGAAGAGGAGAGTGACAATTTGTACTTGAAAAGAAATTGAATGATAGCGAAAGGTTTTTGTGATGATAATTCCAGACAAATAGGCAGTTGAGGAATACCACAAGGTCACTTATTTTTAATATTTTGGAGATTAGGTATAGTACATTAGATTTAGAGTTATTATACTGAAAATATATTTTTTCAAGGCTTTATTTTGGAAATGGGACAACCTTAAAATGATTTGTTTATGGGATTGTCCCCATACTTGACATGCATATCTTAGATGGGACCCAAAAATAGCATGATATATATTTAGCAGAGTTTCTAGATTTACATAATGGTGGACTTTGGCTAGCATTCCATTAGATCTGCTGAGTTTCATTGCTAAGTCATTCAGATGGCCTTGAAAAGAAAGATTAGAATCAATTTTAATCCCAAGATATTTAATAGTCTAAAGGATAAATTTTTTGTCCACTTAGTCTGAAATTTAATTGCTTATTAATTGGTGCCAGATTGAATTTAAAGATGATAAGCTCTGTTTTGTTAGGATTGAGAGAAAGTTTATTAGAACGAAGCCACTGAACAAGATTTTCAAGATCATGATTAATATGTTTGTTGATTTTTTTAAATGATTTGTCAACCAGTAGCATGTTAGTACCATCAGCAAAATCAGTAACTAAGCGAATGTGAAAGGCAAAATCTGGAAAAATATCTAGTATTCAAAATTTTAGTTTATACAAAACTGTATTCCTTGTTTTTAAGGGGCGAATCAACTTAAATTTATAAGCAAAAAAATAAAAATAAAACAATAAACTTACGATTACAAAAGTAATAATACTCTTGCCACTAACTGCATTACAAAAGTAATAACACAAAATTAAAAGTAATAATAGTGTTATTACCTTTATAACGCACTTATAACTTTTAAAACTTAACTATTATTATTGGTTTCTATTTAAGTTTACTTAAATTTCTTATGTAGTTTCTAAATTTAAAACTTTTTCAGCAACCCATTTAATAAAACTTGCGCAAACGGCCATGATCAAGTTCTCTAAATTAAAAAACATTTTCATGGTCATACAAGTTGAGAAACCGCACGCTTTTCCTGGAAAGGCTTGCTAGAGTGTATATATATATATATATATATATATATATATATATATATATATATATATATATATATATATATATATATATATATATTTATGTGTGTGATATTATAAAAATAATCAAATTTAATAAATACAATATAATGTTATATTTGTTAAATTAGATTGTTTTTATTTTATAATATTATGAATTTTTGCAACTCGTAAGTTAAACAATAGTTGTTAAATTAACATTTTTATTGTTTGTTTTAACTTTATTGATTTTAAAATGTTAAATATTTACAATATGTTAACTTATGCATATAATCATTTCAATAATAAAAATGTTTAAAAAAATTTAAATTTCTTTTCAATAATTTAGGTTATTAAAATATAATTAAAAATTTGATAAATATATGAAGACAAACTTAAAGTTTTTAACCTGGAATCATTAGAAAAAGAAAAATTCATGGAGACCTTATACAAATGTATAGAATAGTATATGGTTACGATGAAACTTCATTACAAAAACCAATAAATTTTACAACCAACAGATTATTAGACAAAAAAAAAAAAAAAGCAGAAATCAAAACTACAGTTTCTCAAGAGTATACTCTGCAAAATGTAACACAAGATTTTTTCTTGAATCAAGTTTGTAACGCAAGTAATGTACGCAAGACACAACTTTTTCTTGAATCAAGTTTGTAACGCAAGTAATGTACGCAAGACACAATTTTTTCTTGAATCAAGTTTGTAACGCAAGTAATGTACGCAAGACACAACTTTTTCTTGAATCAAGTTTGTAACAATTGGAGCAATTTAGATCATGAAACTGATAATGTGAAGACAATTTTACTCTTTTAAAATCAATATTGATAAAAGATAAAAGTAAATTTTAACTGTTATAAAGTCATCTATCATGTGATTACTTTCTGTGTAATTTTTACACTACGGTTTTCAATTTAATAATAATATTAATAATAATAATAATAATAATAATAATAATAATAATAATAATAATAATAATATAATATATACATTAAATTGTTTATTACATTTTTATAACCTAAATTATCGAAAAGAACTTTCTTTTATTCTTTTAGTTCTTTATTTATATTAATAATATAAATTATTGAAAAAAACTTTTTTTTTATTCTTTTAGTTCTTTATTTATATGATTAATATAAATAAAGAACTAATTATTTAGGTTATAAAAATATAATAAACAATTTAATGTATATATTATATATTTATCAAACTTTTAATTATATTTTAATAACCTAAATTATTGAAAGAACTATTTTTTTTTTTTTTTTACATTTTCAATATTTTAAATGTTTTAACTTAATTGATTTTAAAATATTAAATACTTATATTAATAATAAATATTTAATATTTTAAAATCAATAAAAATAAAACAAACAATAAACATGTTAATTTAACAACTATTGTTTAACTTGCGACTCGCAAAAATTCACTTTTACTATTACATTGTAAATTACAATACTTACAACAATTTTATATATAAGCATATTTAATTAATTCAACTTTTTTTTCAGAGAAAAAAGATAAAAATGAAATCCAAAAGATGATTTGAAGTTTATAATCTAATATTTCATCTTAAATAACAACACACCCATTTAATGTCCGTAATATTTTCATCCAAATTGGTTACCCCCTTTGGTTGTGGCTGATGGATTTCATTTACCGGATGATCCAAAAGTGAACGAGTACATCGTAATAAAATATACGAGCGGCTATTTCCTGAGATCTGATCCCTGTTTTGATTTGACGAAAAATTTAACTTGCAGGGTTAATATCACTAGGTCTAAAATATCACTAGGTCCGAAATAATGTTTGTCGTTAGCCGGATTTTCGGAGTTGTATATGAAATATTAGTAAAGCGCATATGATATATTGAAAATATATATTTATATATCACATCCGCCTAAAATATCACATCCCCCATAGAAATAATGAAAACGAGAACGCGCTTTCGAGCCATTGCACTTAGAAGTGTATCAATTACGTCCGAAACATTCACTTATAAACAATATAATTAAAACGCAACAAGATACATAAAAACGTTTTCCTAATAATATACTATAAATTAAGTTAGCATAAAATGGTAATATATTTTAAATTTATAGTGATAATTGTAAGATGTAAGAATTCCAGTTTCTTTTTGTGACATATACAGAAACAACAAGTGATGAATCTGATATTTTACAAGTGATGAAGCTGATATTTTAAACATTAAATACTAACCATTTGAAATATTGTATGAATTACATAGGGGGATGTAATATTTAAGAAGTACACATTAGAGGGATGTGATATTTTAAGTACGAATTTTAGTTATTTTTAATGGTACATACAGAATTTACAATTGATGAATCTTCTATTTCTAAACACTAAATACTAACTGTTTGAAATATTGAATGAATTACTTAGGGGGATGTAATATTTTAGAAGTATACATTAAGAGGGAGGCGATAGTTTAAGCAAGAATTTCAGTTTCTTTTGTGACATATACAGAGAATAAACAGGGTATGTGAAAAAGTATGATCAATTAATGTACTTCATAATAACATTTTTGTACAAAAAAACAATATTGCATTTTTTTTTTTTAAATTTGTCTTCATTTTAATAAAATTTTACTTCTAAACATGAAACAATATATTGAATGCCATTCCATTTATTGATGCTTTGAAGAATCAAATCGAAGTTCTGTCGCCAGCTGGGCTACTCTAACTGGATGAAATGCTAATTAAAACTGATTTAAGACGGTATAAGGTATTCAAAAACATTTATTTAAAAAAATTAATGATTCAATAATTTAATATATATATATATATATATATATATATATATATATATATATATATATATATATATATATATATATATATATATATATATATATATATATATATATATATATATATATATATATATATGTATACATCTTCATAAAAAGAGTTCTTTAAACTAAATATATATAATATATATCTTCATAGAAGGAGTTTTTTAAACTAGATATGCCAATATGCTGCACGGTGTCAAAATTCCAATGGAGCTTGCAGTATGTAAAATAGTATAATTGTTTTTGAAAAAGTTTCTTTAAGTACAAAAAGTTTAACTTTTAGTGTAAGGTTAGGTTCTCTATTTTTTTAAGGGGAACCTAACCTTGAACCTGATATTGAAACTCACTTGTGTTTTAGATAATCAAACCAGGTGATAAAACAATTCACTCTATTGACCCTATGGGAGAACAGATAGATTCCATTAAAAAAGAAAAAGTGAAATGGAAGTATGATATTATTATTAGATATTTCTATATCAAAATTTGTATTTACATCTTTTATAATTTTTTTACTATTATACAAAAGTTATTATTTACAACAAAGATATGGTGTTTCAGAAAAGTTTGAAATATTAACATTACCATATGCTATACCAGCTTATGGTATATCATGTGAAGTATACTGCTTTAAGGTAAGACTCTTAACTGTAATGGATATATATATATATATATATATATATATATATATATATATATATATATATATATATATTTATATATATATATATATATATATATACATATATATATATATATATATATATATATATATATATATATATATATATATATATATATATATATATATATATGTATATGTATATTTATGAGCTTACATATTTTAGTTTGCTGAAAATTATATAAATGGAGAAAAATTGGTGCGTGTCTTTCCACATAAAGAAGTTAATGCATACAGAAAGAGAGATAAAGGATGTTATTGAGAGAACTGAAAATATTTATACTACTTCAATGTTAAATGATATCTTTAAAAAAGACAAAAAAAAAATGATGCAAAATTAAATTAATAGGTCAGAAAAGTTGGCAGATGAGATTTGTGTCGCATTTGTGATAGTGAAATTGGTCCAAAAACTAGAAAAAAAAAATCAAAAAAAAGATAAATGGGTAATAAAATATATATTTTAATTATTTTTTAATAAAAATGTAAAATAGAAAAAAATACTTTAAATATTCAAATAGAATAATGTAGATAAAATATTTATATTTAGATAAAATATGATATTTGCATCCCGAATCAATGGTACCATATGAGATGGATTGTTTTTAGAAGTGAAACTTTATTTTGTAGTGAACATTTTTATATAAAAATGTAATAATAAATGAAACTTTAAAAATTGCAATTATTTCTTTTTCAAAATTTTTCAAAAATTTAACCAATTTAAATATTTATGACCTAAGAGATAAAAACACAAATAGGTGAAATTGTTTTTTTCTTAGTTTCACTGACTTCTTGTATTCTTATAATACTTTAAATTATCGAAAGCATACATATGAATTGATTGAACAATAATACATTTTTAATTTGTTAGCTCAATTAAATCTAAATAAAAATGAAAAAAGGCTGTTTGAGTAATCTCTGTATATTTTGCAAATAACAGCTAAAATTCTAAATTAAAATATCAAATCTCCCTGTGCAGGTTTCTAAAATATTCCCCAACATAATTAATACCATGTTGCAAATTATAATTAACTCCATAAAGCAAATAGTTACTCCATAAAGCAAATAATTGTATTTGCTTTATGGAGTAACACAACCCCCCTGTGTAAGCTCTCTATATATATATATATCATAAAAAGAAGCAAAAAACCAACTTAAAATTTCACATCCCCCCGATGTATATCTTTAAAATACTACATCCCCCTAAGTAATTCATACTATATTTCAAAAGATTAGTATATGGTACCTAGAATATCACATCCATCACTTGTAATTCTATGTAAGTTTGTATGTACCAAAAAAAGAAACTGAAACTCTTACTTAAAATATAATATTTCCTTTGTTGGGAAATGTTATCTTCTAAAATATTACATCCCCCTGAGTAATTTATAAAATATTTCTAACGAATAGTATTTGGTATCTAAAATATCACATCTCCCCTAAAAATTCTCTGCATATGACAAAAAAAGAAACTGAAATTCTATATTAAAACATCACATCCCCCTATGTATAATTTTAAAATATTACACCCCCCTAAGTATTTCTTTACAATATTTCAAACGATTAGTATTTGATACCTAGAATATCACATCCCCCTGTTTATTCTCTGTATATGTCACAAAAAGAAACTAAAATTCTTACTTAAATTATCATATCCCCCCTAATGTATACTTCTAAAATATTACATTCAATATTTGAAACAGTTAATATTAAGTATTAAAAATATAGGATTCATCACTTGTAAATTCTGTATGTATCACAAAAGAAAACTTAAATTCTTACTTAAAATATTACATCCCCTCTATGTTTACCTATAAAATATTACATCCCCCAAGTAATTCATACAATATTTCAAATGATTAGTAATTGGTATCTAGAATATCACAACCCTTCGGTTTATTCACTGTACATGTCACAAAAAGAAACTGAAATTCTTACTTAAAATATCACATCCAGCCTATGTTTACTTCTAAAATATTTCATCCCCATAAATAATTTATAAAATAGGTTAATGTGTCAAAATCGAAATTTATAGAATATTTCATATTTTGGTTGTCAATTATTGCTTTATCATTATTACTAGTCAATTATATGATATATATATATATATATATATATATATATATATATATATATATATATATATATATATATATATATATATATACATATAGTTAGTTAGTATGATGACCGCAATGCAACTTTATTGTGTTGCATATAGCGCCTTTATGGCACTGTGGTGGTTTTGTTGGAAGCTGTCCAACTGGTTTTTGAATTCGTTTAGGCTTCCAGCATTAACAATCTCATCCCGTAGGCGATTCGAGCTGTTACCTACTCAATTTGTAAAAAAATTGCTTCTATTGTTGTTATTTCTAACTATCTCCTTGATCAGTCGACTTCTATGTCCATGGCGTGGCCCAGAACGGATCGGGGTGTGGTGCCAGTTAACTATTTCTTTTCCAGATTCTAGTTTAAAAAGTTGAATTAAGTCACCACCGTGACGTCTTTTTTCAAGGGTGGTCAAGTCTACAATGCCTAATCTATTTTTATGAGGTAATTGCTTTGTATTGTGGGCTATCTTAGTAGCTCGTATTTGGACTCTCTCTAGTACATATATATCCCTATTCGTATGTGGGTTCCAACTTGAAGCAGAGAATTCAAGATGAGGATGCCCATACACTATGTATACCTTTTTCCAAAGTTCTACATTGCGGAAAACAAATGTCTTTTTAAGCATCCCAGGCAACCTGTTTGCTTTTTAAAATATATATATATATATTTTTTTTATATATATATATACATATATTATAATATATATAATATATATAATATATGTATATATATATATATATATATATATATGTATATATATACTGTAATATATATAATATATGTATATATATATATATATATATATATATATATATATATATGTATATATACATACATATATATATACATATATATATACATATATATATATATATATATATATATATATATATATATATATATATATATATATACATATATATATACATATATATATATACATATATATATATATATATATATATTTATATATATATATATATAAATATATATATACATATATTATATATATTACAATATATATATACATATATATATATGTATATATATATATGTATATATATATGTATATATATATATATATATATATATATATATATATATATATATATATGTATATATATATATATATATGTATATATATATATTGTAATATATATAATATATGTATATATATATATATATATATATATATATATATATATATGTATATATATATATATATATATATATATATATGTATATATATATATTATAATATATATAATATATGTATATATATATATATATATATATATATATATATATATATATATATATATATATATATATATATATATATATATATATATATATATATATATATATATATATATATATATATATATATATATATATATATATATATATATATATATATTAGGGTGGGTCATAAAATTTTGTTTTAGAGTTGCTAACCTGGCTATGGACTAGAAAGTTGTTTTTTTATGTACTAATTAAGGAAAGTATTTACTTTTATGGATTAAACAATGTCTTCCCCCCGCAGCTATAATTACAAAAATTAGCAGGCCCTATTATTATTCATAAAAAAAGTTTTTCAAAATTATGTGATTTAGGTACTCAAAAAAAGTTAACTTTTATAAAAACTTCAAAAATAATTTTTTTATATAAAAATTTTTATATAAAAATTATTAATTTAGATTTTATTGCATAATAACTATAGTTTTTTAACTAAAAGTGAAAAAGGTGCATTTCTACATGTTTTTCAATAATAATTATTTTCGGCAATATGATTTTTATAAAACGATTGTTATAGAAATTTTATAGAAAATTCGGAAATAATAATCGTTTTATAAGTAAGTACTTTTTTTACTGAAGTAAGTACTGGTACTCATAAGAAGCGAAATTTTATAGAAAATTCGGAAATAATAATCGTTTTATAAAAATCATATTGCCGAAAATAATTATTATTGAAAAACATGTAGAAATGCACCTTTTTCACTTTTACCTACATTTTACACGTTTTTACACGTTGACCTACATTTGAAAAAATGTTTTTCTCCAAAATATTAGGGTACCGGTAATTTTCCCAATAAAGTTGTGCCCTTTAGATATTAGCAATGTTTAGAGCCTGTAACAAAAAAAAAAAAATTTTTGACCCACCCTAACATATCTTTATATATATATATATCTATATATATATATATATATATATATATATATATATATATATATATATATATATATATATATATATATATATATATATATATATATATATATATATATATCTATATATATATATATATATATATATATATATATATATATATATATATATATATATATATATATATATATATATATATATATATATATATATATATATATATATATATATATATATATATATATATATATATAAAGAGAGAGAGAGAGAGAGAGAGAGAGAGATAGATAGAGAGAGAGAGAGAGAGAGAGAGAGAAAGAGATGTGACGCATTTTTTAGGTCCTTGTTTTTTGTTTTTTTCTGTCGTTTTTTTGAAAAAAAAAAAACACACGGGTCCGTTTTTTTTTTTTTTTTATGGAAATATTAAATTTTTTTTGTTTAAGCTACTAAATTTAACTTTAATGGCAATATTTTAGCTTATATTTTAATTTCTGATTTAAATAGGACAATAAATTTGAATACTGAATGTACTGAATTTATATTTATTTTGTTATGCTTAAAGGTTAACATGGTTGAAGCAGTCCTGTATAAAAACTTCTTTGATAATTTTATCTTTTTCAATTTAATCTTTATTGATGTTAGTGTATATTGACACAATAAACATTGTTTATTTACCTTTATTATATTTAATTAGACTTAACAATTAATGAATGAGACTTAGCTGAATAACGAGTCAAGTAAGAATGAGTTTTTGTTGATGGAACTAGAAATGATAACTCTTTTGAGCAGCTACCATAATAGAATTTGTAGAAAAGCGAATGAGATGCAACTTTACGACAATGGGAAAGAAGCTAAAGCTTAGCAGATAGAGCTTGTTTAGAATAAAAGGGGTATCATAAGAAAATTCAGCCCAAATATGACAACAGCATTCCATACAGGGACAAAAAGATATTTGTAGAGGTAGAGAATGGAATCAAGGGTAAGAAAATGACGGTAATGATAAAGGTATGCTAATTTAGCAATTAATTGTATATTTTGTTTACACGAAAGGTCAGTAGTAAGCGATAATTTAAGAAGATGTAAAAAAAGGACTCAATGAGAGAGTTGCCATTTATTAATATAGGAGTGTTGACAGTATTGTAGTTATTTGCAGTAAATAACTGAGTTTTGTTGGAGTTAAAATTTATAAGCCAAAATATGTGAACCCCAATCTGTAACACAAGTGAGATCAGATTCAAAATTGGCTGCCTGTTCTAAGCGATCAAAAAGAGAAGACTTTTTGTCAAGACAGGAGTAAAAACTTGAGTTATCAGCAAAAAGAGCTACTTTAGATGTAGGGTTGTCAGGAAGATCAATAATGTAGATAAGAAACAAAACAGGACCAAGAATAGAACCTTGAG